CCATCAGCATCATCATAATCATCACCATGAGAAGCATGAGCATCATCAACATCATCATTATTATCATCAACATCATCATTATCATCATCATCATCAGCAGCAGCATCATCATCATCATCACCATCATCATCATCATCAGCATCAGCATCAGCATCATCATCATCATCATCATCAGCATCATCATCCTTCTCCTCCTCCTCCTCATTATCCTCCTCCTGATCCCCCTCCTCCTCCTCCTCCCTCCTCCTTTAAGCTTCTTTAAGCTCCTCCCCCTCCTCCTCCTCCTCCTCCTCCTCCACCTCCGTATCCTCCTCATCCTCCTCCTCCTCCTCCTTATCCTCGTCCTCCTCCTTTTCCTCCTCCTCCTCCTCCTCCTCGCCAGGTGCTGCTCTGGTAGGGCTTCTGTCGTCTGATGAGCGATGACCCTCGCCCGAAGCCACGACCCCTCGCAAAAACAATGGGCCTTTGCTCCAGAGACCACGATCCCTGGTGCACAACAACGGTGTGTCCGCGTCACGAGCTCCCAAGACGGCCCGGGCACGCAACAGCGGCAACCAAGATGCCCCAAGATGCCTCGAAGACAACCCCAGAAGGCCCCAAGACGGCCCCAAGGCGGCCCAGTGTAGCTCCAAGACGGCCCAATATGCCTCGAAGAGAGCCAAACAAAGGCCACAGGAGGACCCTAACAGAGTGGTCGAATTCTCATTTTTTCGGGTTTCGGTCAGGTCAAGACGGCCCAAGACGCCACCAAGATGGCCTCAAGACGCCCCACGAGGCCCCCAAGAGGGTACCAAGGTTGCTCATGAAGACCCCACGATGGCCCAAAAGACATCCAAGACGGCCCAAGAGGGCCTCCAGATGTACCCAAGACGGCATTAAAAAGCTTTTCGACAGCCCAAGACGGCCCGCGGACACCCTCCATACGGCCAAGAGGGCCCCGCGACGGCCAAGAGAGCCCCAAGGCGGCCTAAGAGGGCCCCAAGACGGCCCCAGGGGATCTGAAGGACCAGGAATGCCCAACAGGAGGCAACGGCAGCCCGAAGACGGCCTGAATGAGCACCATGCGAGCCCGTCACGAAGTGAAGACGGAAGGTGACTTGTTCTTCTTCTGATTCGTCTTCTTCTTCTTCTTCTTCTTTTTCTTCTTCTTCCCTCCTCATTCTCCTCCTCCTCCTGCTTCTCCTCCTCCTCCTCCTCGTCCTCCTCCTCCTCCTCCACCACCCCCTCCTGCACCTCCTCCTGCTCCTCCTCCTCCTGCTCCTCCTCCTCCGCCTCCTACTCCTCCTCCTCCTACTGCTCCTGTTCCTGCTCCTGCTCCTCCATCCTGCTCCTGCTCCTGCTTCTCCTGCTCCTGCTGCTCCTCCTCCTGCTTCTCCTCCTCCTCCTCGTCCTCCTCCTCCTCTCCTCACCACCACCCTCCTGCACTCCTCCTCCGCCTCCTCCTCCTCCTCCCCTTTCCTCCTCCTTGCCTCCTCCTCCTCCTCCTCCTCCTCCTCCTCCTCCTACTCCTCCAACCGCTCCTCCTCTGCTGCGCGCGCACATCATCATCATCATCATCATCATCATCATCATCATCATCATCATCATCATCATCATCATCATCATCATCATCATCATCAACATCATCATCATGATCATCACCATGATCATCATCATGATCATCGTCATGATCATCATCATGATCATCAGCATGATCATCATCATCATCAGCAGCAGCAGCATCATCATCATCATCGTCGTCGTCGTCGTCGTCAGCATCATCATCACCATATCATCATCATCATCATCATCATCATCATCATCACCACCATCATCATCATCATCACCATCACCATCACCATCAACATCACCATCACCATTATCATCATCATCATCAGCACCAGCAGCAGCATCAGCATCAGCATAAGCATCAGCACCATCACCATAATCATCCTCATCAGCACCATCAGCAGCATCATCATGATCGTCAACATCATCATCAGCATCATGATCATGATCATCATCATAATCAGCATAATCATCACCAGCATCATCATCATCGTCATCATCAGCATCAGCATTATCGTCATCATCATCATCAGCAGCATAATCATCAGCATCACCATCATCATGATTTCATCACCACCACCATCATCATCACCACCACCATCATCATCATCATCATCATCATCATCATCGTCGACACCATCATCATCATCATCATCACCACCATCATCAACATCATCACCATCACCATCATGACCAGCATCAGCAGCAGCATCATCAGCATCCTCATCATCATCATCCTCAACCTCATCCTTCTCATCCTCAACATCATCAGCATAATCATCAGCATCATAATCATCATCCTCATCCTCATCGTCATTATCACCACCATCATCATCAGCATCATCAGCATCATCAGCACCACCATCATCATTATCATCATCAGCATCATTATCGTCATCATCACCACCATCATCATCAGCATCATCATCACCAGCATCGTCATCGTCATCGGCATCGTCATCGTCGTCATCGTTATCGTCATCGTCAACCTGGTCATCATCAGCATGACCATCATGATCATGATCATCATCATCATGACCACCATCATGTCACTCTTAGCTGAATGCTTCGTAGCGTTCTTCTTCATCGTACTTGCCTTCATACTCTTCATTCTACTCAGCATGACCATCATCATCAGCATCATCATCAGCATCATCATGATCACCCTCCTCCTCCTCATCCTCCTCCTCATCATCATCACCATCATCAGCGTCATCATCATCATCATCATCATCATCAGCATCAGCATCAGCATCAGCATCAGCATCATCATCATCATCATCATCATCACCATCATCATCAGCATCACCATCACCTCCACCATCATTACCACCATCGCCACCCTCCTCCTCCTCTTCCTCCTCCTCCTCATCATCATCGTCGTCATCACCACGGCTTTCCCAAGCCTGAATACACCAAGCGTCACGCGTGACGGCCTCCCGCGCCCCTCGAACAATCGCCGCTCAGAATGCCGGACTGGCGCGGTGGAGTGACTTGCCGCAGGCAGCCAGCCACTACTGCATCGGAGACCCGCGCGGAGCTCGCGGGTCGGCGCGAAGCTCCCCTCCCCGCACCCCTGGGGGCGGCTCCGGCGCCGCACTTGGCGTGCTCCGCGTGCCAGGGAGAGGGCGTAATGCGAGAACGGCGCCCATTCACCGCACCATGTTTGGACTCCGGCTGCGGACTGCCTCTGCCGCGCTGCGACGCGAAGATGTCCGGACTCCGCCCAGGCCGCGCTCAAATGCGGCACGGTGCACAGCTGTTTCGGCTCCGGGGGCCGAAACAGCTACGAGGCCTCGGGAGACGCCAGCGCGGCGCGGCGCGCACAAGTCGTCCGCGGCTGTGAGGAGGGGCGGCCAGCGCCGACCGCCCCCCCACCAACAGAAAGCCGCGCGGGCCTCCCAAAGCTTATTTTACGCACGCCATGTTCTGTGCCTGAGCAGTAGGAGCTCGACCACAAGAAACCTTCCACGCGAAACCCAACCCTGAGACCCCAGGACGCCCCTTGACTGTTGGTGTGGGGACGCCGCGCTTTCCCATAGCAGAGCCATCGAAGCCCAAGAAACCCAGGGCACCCTGGAGGGAAGCAGGGTTTTTGTTGGCATGGGCTTCCACAGTACTTGGGAAAGCCCAGAACGTGCCCCGGGTGAGGTGTCGAAGCGGCCTCGGTTCCAGCCACGAGGGGCGCCAAAACGCAAACGTTGGGCGTCCCGAGGTGGGCCCTGAGGCCCCCGTGCCAGGAAACCAAGGGCACCCTGGATACAAGCAAGGTGTTTCTTGCCATGGCTTTCCACTGTGCGCGCAGACGGCACCGCCCCCGTCACGGGCGGGCAGCGCTCGAAACGAGTCGCGCACCGACCCCCGCGCAGAGCGGACGGGAACCGCTGTCCGCTGTCGTCCTCAAGGTCGCCTACCTTCGCGCATCGCACCCTGCGATGCGCGGCGCGCGGCTATCGCCGCGCCTTCGCGCCGTCGCGCCCTCGAACCACCCCTCAAGGAGAAGGGCAGCCGTTCCAGCACATTCCGCGACGCGCGATCTTCGCGCCCCCGCGGGTGACCTACGGTCGGACCTAGGACAGAAGAACATCCTCCAAGAACATGAGACCCTCCGCTGGCCAAACTGAAGAGCATTCAAGGGTACCCTCCCCCAGGATGCACAAGAGCATCCGACACGCACAAAGAACACTAGGATACCCTCCGCGAACCGACCTCGATGTTAAACTGTTATACCTCGGTCCGACCGTACGTATGAGTGTTCCTCACCCCTGGGCCCTCGGCAGTCCTCGGTCCGACTGTAGGGGACCGCTGCCGCCCGTCGTCCCCGCTACTTCCGCCCCCATCTCGCACTTCTGGATCCCCTGATCTCCGCGGCACGGAGGGCAAGGCCGCCGGCGCCGCCGACGGCGAGCTGCACCTCGGCAACGACGCCGCCGCCGCCGACGATGACGGCGACGGCGTGCGGCGGCGGCGGCGGCGACGAGCGACGACGGCAGCGGCGGCGTCGCCGGCACTGACACGAAAACGGCGCCCATGCACCGTGCCGTGTCTGGACTCCGCACAGACCTCGCTACAACGCAGCACGGGGCACAGCTTTGCCAGCTCTGGGGGCCGAAAGACTGTGAACGGTACCGTTCCTGGGTCGAGGATCGACGACGTCTTGGGAGACGCCAACGCGGCACAGTGCACACAAATCGTCCGCGGAACCGAGCTGCTCCAGGGCCCCACGGCCAGGTGCGCGGGGCCCAGGTCGGGCGGCGGCGGCGGCGTGGGGCGGCGGCGGCTTGCGGCGGCGGCGGCGGCGTGGGGCGGCGTGCGGCGGCGGCGGCGTGCGGCGGCGTGCGGCGGCGTGCGGCGGCGGCGGCGTGCGGCGGCGTGCTGCCGCGGCGGCTCGCGGCGGCGGCGCTGCACCTCCGCCACCGCCAGGTGCGCGGGGCCCAGGGCGCGAGGGTCCTCTAGCACCTCGGCGAGGGCGAGGGCCTCGGCGGCGGCGAGCCGAGCCGCCTCGCCGCTGCCGGCCGCCAGGTGGGCGCCGGCCAGGCGGATGAGCTCCGCCACCTCGGAGCAGCAACAGAGGTCCTGTGCCTCAGCAGGGGCCATTGGGCCACAGCCTCTTGTTGAAGAATGGGGCTATTCGTTAATTTTCTCAACAGAGGCCATGGGGCCTCCCCAGGAAGCAGAAAGGCGAGGAGGCCGCACAACATCAGCACACAGAACAACAACAGAGATCCAGCCACCTCGGAACAACAACAGAGGTGTACGGTAGGAGCGAGACCACGGCACGGCGCGCACAAGTCGTCCGCGGCTGTGAGGAGGGGCGGCCAGCGCCGACCGCCCCCCCACCAACAGAAAGCCGCGCGGGCCTCCCAAGGCTTATTTTTACGCACGCCATGTCCTGTGCCTGAGCAGTAGGAGCTCGACCACAAGAAACCTTCCACGCGAAACCCAACCCTGAGACCCCAGGACGCCCCTTGACTGTTGGTGTGGGGACGCCGCGCTTTCCCACAGCAGAGCCATCGAAGCCCAAGAAACCCAGGGCACCCTGGAGGGAAGCAGGGTTTTTGTTGGCATGGGCTGTGAAGGCCCAAGACGTGCCCCGGGTGAGGTGTCGAAGCGGCCTCGGTTCCAGCCACGGCGGGCGCCAAAACGCAAACGTTGGGCGTCCCGAGGTGGGCCCTGAGGCCCTCTCCAGGGTACGCCTGCTCTGGGGTACGTGTGGCCTCCCCTGACATACACATAAGCTTTCGGAGGTCCGCGCGGATCTCTTGCGCCGGCCCAGGCGCGCTGCGCGCGCCAGGGAACGGGAGGTCCAGCGCCGACCCAAGAAAATCGCGAGGACGCACGAGACTTTGAATGATTGTCACCGTTGTTCCTCGAGACCTGCTCCTCCAAGTCTTGGTCCAGCACGTCTGGACACACAAACGGGGAGCAAGAAAAGATACATCTGCCCCACCCTTCCATCTTCCAGCCTCGTCCCCCTATTCCTGCCCTCCACCCTTCCTCCTTCCAGGGGGCGCGGGTAGAGTCAAACTCCATAGTGAGGAAGCAAGGTAAGGGTGCAAGACTATTGAGCATCCACGTGGGAACAATCTCAGCAGCATCATGCGAACAACTCTAGGACCCATGCCTGAGGATGGGCCGAAGAAGCAAGTGCATCTTTGATAATGCATACTTGCTAAGGTTTGTCATATTTGACTCTGGACGCCCGACATGGGTACGGAAACAATGGGTACAATGCCGAACAACAAATGTCGCTCAAAAACGACAGCGGCCGCTGTTGGGCAGGCGGCCTTCTATCTCAAATGGACAACGGCCGCGGCGACGCGACAGCGAACTCTGCACACGTAGAGTGAACCAGAACCGCTGTTGGACTCTGTACCCATCTTCCCATATCCATTTCGATCGCCCCGATTGGCGGTGTCGAAGACAACCAAACAAATACCGATACCGTTACTCCGTTGACCTCTCCCGGGGTGCGTTCTGACCAGAATTTCGGGGCGAATCCAGCGGCGGCGACGAGGGCCTCCCAAGAGGCCCAAAGAAGGGAAAACGAGGGAGAGCCGGGCAGAGGTATGGGTACCCTCGTGTTCCTCCCCCGAGAGATGTACCCCGTCCTGCTCCCCAATGAACTCGGCCGGTCGGAGCCAGAGCACCTCCACCTCGAAGTCGCGCTGCAGCCCAAGCGCGCGCTCCCGGCAGACGCGGCAGACGAGGTCGCGAGCCGCGGCCGCGGCCTCCGCGCCCGCGGCCGCGCGGCGCCGCAGCAGGCCCTCGAAGGCGGGCGTGGCGGCGGCGAGCACCATGCCGTCGAAGTCCCGCTGGTCGACCTTTCGTTGAAGGCTCAACGAGTTCTGCCGTCCTTCGGCTCGCACTGGGAGCGGCCGCGAGTTGCTCAAGCCTTCCCTGGAGATCTCTCGATATACCTGGATTTGGGCCCAGATCTGCCTGGATTTGCCTCGGATTACCCTGGATTTGCCCAGACGTGCCTGGATTTGGGTCGGGCAGTCCCCCCTGGAGGCGGATTTTCAACGACAAATGACAAATTGACAAACATATTCCAAAATGAGCGAAAATAGTCGGAAAATCGTCCCCAGACTATTTTTTGACTACTCCTCCTGTAGAGGGACAGGCCCGACTTAAACCTGGACTTATCTACCTCGGTCCCCACAAGTCGATTGGCGAGAAGTCGTGAAGCCCTCAGGGAACCTTCCAAGTGTGGCCCTTCACCAGCGAGACCTCCATCCTGTGGCGGAAGTAGGCCAGGCACCGCGCCAGCCTCCCCGGGGTCAGGCCGCCGTCGAGCGCGGCGAACTCGGCGAAACGACCGCGCGCCAGCGCCTCGTCGCCGTCCTTCGGTGGTTCAGAGATAGGGTCCTCAAGGATGGGGTTATGAGGACGGGGTGCCGGTGCCCCAAACGACACAAATCCATCCCTGGACCCATTCCTACCCTGAGGACCCCATCAGAAGAAGAAAAAACGCCATAAACACAAACTCTTGGCGCTCCGCGCGGATTTCTTGGATCTGCGCTGGACCCCAGGTGCGGCGCTGGAGGCGCCGCCAGGGGGGCCCAGCGCGGATCCAAGAAATCCGCGCGGAGCGCCCGTGTTTTCTTCTTCTAATGGGGTCCCAAGGGTAGGAATGGGTCCAGGGATGGATTTGCGTTGTTTGGGGCACCCCGTCCTCATGACCCCGACGAGTGAAGACCCTCCAATTTTGGTACTTTCTCGTGGTGCTCGAAATTCTTCCTGGTGATCAAGGCCAAAGTAGGTTGGAACATCAGAACCTTGGACCCATTCCTACACTTAGGACCCCATCCCTCAGGACCCCATCTTTGAACCACCGAGTCCTCCTCCACCTCCTCCACCTACTCCTCCTCCTCCTCCTCGTCCTCCTTCCTCCTTCCTCCTTCCTCCTTCCTCCTTCCTCCTCCTCCTCCTCCTCCTCCTCCTCCTCCTCCTCCTCCTCCTCCTCCTCCCCATCCCTCAGGACCCCATCTTGGAACCGCCGAGTCCTCCACCTGCACCTCGCCGGACACGTGGCCGGCGGAGCCCCCGACCTGCGCCGGCGCCTCGCCGCTCTGCACGGCCTCGGGCAAAAGCGCGCCCCACCACGCGCAGAGGCAGCTGCTCGCAGGGGCAGCCTCGGTCCACCGCGGGAGATTTGCGCCACACTGCATCGGGGCGGACACGTGTTCTTCGAAGATTTGCGAGCATGCACTCTGCGAGTAGTGGAGCGCGCTCGGTGAGGCCTGCTCCCACTGCTCCGCGGTGGGCACGGCGTGCGCGTAGAAGTACATCCAGCACGCGGGGTCCAGGAAGGACAGGCACAGGCCAGCCTCCTGCCCCCGCGCTGGGTAGTCCAGCAGGAAGTCGCGGAGCCTGAGGTCGCACAGCCTGTGCGCCAGGACAAAGTGCGAGGTCTGCTGGAAGAACTCGCGCAATATCAGAAGAAGAGGAAACTGCATAAACATACACTTTCGGAGGTCCGCGCGGATTTCTTGGGTCGGCGCTGGACCCCCCCTCTCCCTGGCGCGCGGAGCGCGGGCCAGTGGCGGCGCTGGAGCCGCCGCCAGGGTGGGCCCAGCGCCGATCCAGGAAATCCGCACGGACCTCCGAAAGTGCATGTTTGTTCCGTTCGTTGTTCTCCGAGATATCCGAAGCCTAGGGCACAGGTCGAAGTACTCCAGGCCGAGGTCGCCGGGGATTGGCAGCGTGTCCGCTGCGTCGCCTGCATCGAACATCTGACGATGTTCGAGTAGGGGATCGACTACAGAATTGATTTACCCCAGAATTGGGTTTTTCTATTCGAATCCAGGAAAAAACCGTGGGCTCGGCCGGGAAAACCGATTCTGGGGCAAATCGATTCTGTCATCAATCCCCTACTCGAAATACCAGTCCCTGCAGGCGTCCTGGTCGGTGAGCAGCGACGCGTGGCCCGTCAGCAGCCAGGCATCCACCTCGAGCTCTGTCTTCTCGGCGGCGAGCCCGGGGGGGAAGTGAGAAGGGGCGGGCCTTCTCAGAAGGCTCGGAAGTCCCCCGGCCTTCTGAGAAGCTCAGCCTTCCCCGAAGACAAAGAAGACTTCTCAGAAGGCGCGAGGGCTTCCGAGAAGACCCGCCGCCTTCTGAGAAGGCCTTCTCCTTCTCATCTCCCCCCCTCGCCCGCCGCCGATCTTCGGCATGCTGCCCAGGTCGAGCACGTCGCTCTCGACATTGGCCCTCGCCATGGACGCGAACGCCGCCACCCCGTCGAGCAGCGGGTGGGCCTGCGCTTGAGTACGTCTGGGGGGTCAGGTCTGCAGAACACCCCAAACGGACGTCGAGCGGCTCAACCAACCTGTTCGGTCAAGCTCAAAATTGGGGCACCACACCCGGCGTCAGGCCAAAACTTTGAACATGAGCGAACTGCACAGCTTCGTCGGCTCAACCGGCGAGGCGGTTGACCACCTTGACGTCCCTCTCTTCTGGTGGTCCTGCAGAGGAAGGCGCTCGCTGACCCTCGGCCCTACTCTTAGGTCGGGCATGTCCTCCTACAGGGGGATTTTGGGCGAAAAATGAGACATACCGAACACATGCCCCAAGTAATCAAAAACATGCTCAACAGATCGTCCCCTGACTACTTCCCAACCCTCCTGTGCTGGGTACTCGTTTTGAATAGAGCAGTGTGGTCGCCCCGTCCTTCCTTCCTTCCTTCCTTCCTTCTCCTCCCTGTTCCTCCCCTCCTCCTTCACTCCTGTTTCCGGTGTTCCCCTCTCCTCGGTACCTCGTGCCGTCGGGCTGCGATCTGCGCAGC